CACAATGAACATTATCCAATGTTATGCACCCACCAAATCATAGCAACGACGACGTTAAAGATCAATTCTATGAGAGGCTGCAATCAATCATAGAGAAGTGCCCAAAAAAGGACCTCACCATTCTGATGGGAGATCTAAACGCCAAAGTCGGAATGGACAACATCGGATATGAAGACATCATGGGACTACATGGACTGGGAGAGAGAAACGAAAACGGGGAAAGATTTGCAAATCTGTGTGCATTCAATAAATTGGTCATAGGCGGTACAACATTTCCACACAAACGTATACACAAAGCTACGTGGATCTCACCGGACCACACCACAGAGAACCAGATAGATCACATTTGCATCAATAAAAAGTTCCGAAGGACAATGGAAGATGTAAAAATAAGGAGAGGAGCGGACATAGCTTCAGATCATCACCTAGTTGTGGCCAAATTGAAACTGAAGCTAAAGAAGAACTGGACAACTGGACAAACAGCACCACAAAGGTTCAATACAGCCTTCCTTCGAGATACTGACAAACTCAATGAATTCAAGGTAGCTCTCAACAACAGGTTCCAAGCCTTACAGGATCTACTGAAGGAAGAAGAAACTACTATGGAGGATAGCTGGAAAGGTATCAAAGAAACATTAACTTCAACGTGTGAAGAGGTTCTGGGCCCCAAGAAGCATCATCACAAGGAATGGATCTCTACAGAAACACTGGACATGATCAAAGAAAGAAAGAACAAGAAGACAGCAATTAACAACAGTCGAACAAGAGCAGAGAAAGTCCAAGCACAAGCAGAGTACATAGAAGCAAACAAGAAAGTGAAGAAGAGCATTAGAGCTGATAAGCAAAAATACGTGGAAGAACTAGTAACGACGGCGGAAAAAGCTGCAAGAGAAGGAAATATGAGACAGCTTTACGATACGACGAAGAAGCTTGCAGGGAAATACAGTAAACCAGAGAGACCAGTCAAAGACAAAGAAGGAAGACCAATCACTGAGATTCAACAACAGCGCAACAGATGGGCAGAGTACTTCGAGGAACTCCTGAACAGACCGGCTCCAATGAATCCACCGGACATCGAAGCAGCACACACAGATCTTCCTATAGATGTCAATCCACCAACGACAGAAGAAATCAGAATGGCCGTCAGACAAATCAAGAGCGGGAAAGCAGCAGGACCTGACAATATACCAGCTGAAGCGTTGAAGTCAGACATCGAAGTAACTACAAGCATGCTTCATCTTCTATTCAAGAAGATTTGGGAGGAGGAACAAGTGCCGATGGATTGGAAAGAAGGACACCTCATCAAGATTCCAAAGAAAGGAGATCTGAGCAAGTGTGAAAACTACAGAGGCATTACACTACTGTCAATACCGGGTAAAGTCTTCAACAGAGTGTTACTGAACAGGATGAAAGACGCAGTTGACGCTCAACTTCGAGATCAACAAGCTGGATTCCGTAAAGACCGGTCGTGCACAGACCAGATTGCGACACTACGGATCATCGTCGAACAATCAATTGAGTTGAACTCGTCACTCTACATCAACTTCATTGATTATGAGAAGGCATTTGACAGTGTAGATAGGAGGACGTTATGGAAACTTCTTCGACACTACGGAGTTCCTGAGAAGATTGTCAACATTATCTGGAACTCATACGATGGACTACAGTGCAAAGTAGTGCATGGAGGACAGCTGACAGACGCATTCCAAGTAAGGACCGGAGTAAGACAAGGCTGTCTACTCTCTCCCTTCCTGTTTCTTCTGGTGGTCGACTGGATTATGAAGACCTCGACATCTGAGGGAAACTACGGCATACGATGGACAGCTCAGAACCAATTAGACGACTTGGACTTCGCAGATGACCTAGCCCTCCTATCACATACACACGAACAAATGCAGATAAAGACAGCCAGCATAGCAGCAGTCTCTGCATCAGTAGGCCTCAACATACACAAAGGGAAAACCAAGGTCCTCAAACACAACACGGAGAACAACAATCCAATCACTCTTGATGGCGAAACTCTGGAAGACGTGGAATCCTTCACATACCCGGGAAGCATCGTCGACAAACAAGGAGGTTCAGATGCAGACGTCAAGGCGAGGATTGGCAAAGCTAGAGCGGCATTCCTTCAACTGAAGAACATATGGTACTCAAAACAACTTTCAACCAATATCAAAGTCAGAATCTTCAATACGAACGTCAAGGCAGTTCTACTGTACGGAGCTGAAACTTGGAGAACTACAAAAACCACCATCAAGAAGGTACAGGTATTTATTAATAGCTGTCTACGCATGATACTCAACATCCATTGGCCGGATACCATCAGCAACAGCCTTTTGTGGGAGAGAACCAACCAGCTTCCAGCTGAAGTGAAAATTAGGAAAAGACGATGGAAATGGATAGGACATACATTGAGGCAATCATCAAACTGCATTACGAGACAAGCGCTAACTTGGAATCCTGAAGGGAAGCGGAAAAGAGGAGGTCCAAAGAACACATTACGTCGGGAAATAGAAGCAGATATGAAAAAGATGAATAAGAACTGGAAAGAGCTTGAAAGGATTGCACAGGACAGGGTTGGATGGAGAATGCTGGTGAGCAGCCTATGCTCCTTCACGAGGAGTAACAGGCGTAAGTAAGTAAGTAAATTTCATATGAATGTAAACCAGCATACTAGTATTTTAATGCCTGTTATTATTCTTAAATTTCATCTGCAAATAGTGAAAAATTAATGGAAATTCAGGTAGTTGTATGTGATATCATTATATCGAGTGATATTTGGTTCGTTTGTTAGTGTTGAAATATTATTGATGATTGTGACTTGAGGAATTCCTGTTTTGATTATGTCGACACCTTCATGGTCTCATACACAAAACGTCAATCTAAAATGAATTTTGTAGCTGCAACTGGATAATAGACAGCAAAATCATAACCAGATGAGTCTCATTTTCTTCACTTCATACTACCACTAAACCAGCATATAAAAAACAGCTGTATCGGATAAAAAATGATCATATCCCTATACCGTTCAGGAAATTTTCTGGTGGTTTACGCCCAGTAATTACTATCTTACAGCCACTATCTTTGTTAAAACGTTGACGTTATTGGATACTAACTAACCATTTTGAAACAATGGTGGCATTTATTCATGAGCGTTGTTGTGCTGAAGATAAGTATACACACTTTCATGATGGTATGATGAATATAATGACAATTGTCTGCTTATTAATGTACTTATTGCAATATTCATGCTCTTCATACTCAACAACTGGTTTTTTATCTACATCAGGCAGTAGTAGATTTTCTCCTTTCATCAATATATCCACTGCATCTGTGACCGGAAGAAATCTGGTTAGAAATTTTGGAAATTAAATATTTGTAATTATTCCTATAACTTCTACCCACAGCGTGTGCGAATTTAAAATTGCACCTTATATTGTAATGAGAAGCTAACATAATTGTAGACTTTGAGTAACCGCTTTACCTTTGTTATCAGATTCCACCAAGTAGCTAATAGAGGTGGTAATTTTCTACTACACAATCTTTTCAAGCTTAGTGGATAAATGTCACTTGTTGACTGTATCAGTTATCGGAGCATATCTTCAAATTTACTTATGCCGAAGTTAGCCTATGAACTAAAAACACTTGGTGGTTGGAACTTGCCAACAAATTGGAAGCTGCGTCCCCATCTAGCAATTTGTGCTAATTATTTCAGCTTATTTGACCCACTGGAAGCAAAACGTCTGGTTTCAGTAAAATAATCTGTGATGTTGATAGCATGTCAGTTGGTAACATCTTAAGGCGTCTCGTATGATGTACAGTTTTTGGAAGAATATTTCGGCTGGTTATTTGTCCCAGCAACTTCTACCAGACTGTCCTATCCTCCATGGCCGGTGACGATTGATCTGCCTAACGAGGAGGAAGTTCACATAGCAATTCAGATTATGAGGCTCCACGAATCACCAGGCCTAGACGACTTACCCTCTTTGTTTCTAGGAAAGGTGGAAAAGGTCTAGAAAAGACTGTTCCAACATCCTAGAGTAAAACAACCGTCGTCTCAAATTTTAAGAAGAGGCATTATCTATGCATGTACTCTAGGGGGATAAGTTTACTTCTGACTGCTTCCAAACTTTTTAATTCCGTCATATTTCAGATTTTTTTAAACCCGTGGAAGACTAAATTATATAGAGCAGGCTGGTCTTTAATCAAGTTGTGGATATGTGTGTTATATCTCCACATTCCACTATATGTTAGATTACTGCTACACTTATTCCAAGTCAATATTCATTGTGTTTGTCAATATTAGTTGATGTTACCGTCTTTAAACTGGCTTCGGTTTCATGAACATATCTCACGGCATCATTCTTGTGACTTCTAAATTATGGATTACTTGCAGGTTTTAGCACTGGGTGGCGAAGGCAAAGTAGTCAGTATATGACATGAAATCGTGGTGTGAAAGCTGTATAAGACAAATATGCTGGTCCATCATGAATCCTTGGCTGGGGTTCTGAAGATGGTGCGACTCAGTGGCTTGAAACGTTAACAGAAGTGGATGTGAACTGGAGATAACGATATTCTTGCTCTAGTTTTCTTCGACATTCTCTTTCAAATGGCGAGAAACTCTTTTAACTGAGAGAAATTTTTCTTGGTTGTATTTTTAATTGGAATTTATCTTTTCCTATACATTAGTCCTGTTCTGTTTTCAACTACACCCCCTTTCTCTTTTACTTCTCCATGGTGTTATCTATTTATTTTGTCAGGGGCATACTATTTTTGGTGCCTGGTTATGCCGAATTTTGTGTACTGAGTAAGAAATAACAAAATCCGACTGGACGTGTGGTAGCCTAGTTTAGATACTTTCACACATAAATCTACTAGGATCTTCCCCTCTAATATGTGAATAAATATCCAATTGTTTTCTTTAGTATTTGCTACCATTTATACGCTTTAATAATCTGCCTTAGATTGAAACTCACAAAAATGTTTTTTTCTAATAATAGTGTTTGATTTATTCAATAGATAGAAATTTGTCTCCAATCCAATGAATTTAGCATCCATTGATAATATCATACGTGTGGCTCGACTTCAGACATCATCAAATGACTCGAGTTATCAGAATTTTTTGGATCGTTTGGTTTTACCTGGGATGGTTTTTGAATTATCTGGACCTTATGATGGGCCTGTATCATGGTCTATTGGTCCAGGTCTTGTTTGTGTGCCGATGTCTAGGAGGAAACCTGGAGTGGGAAAAAACAAAATGGTGGATTCGATTTTAGTAAGACAGGTCAGTCTTATGGTTTTTTAGCTCCAAGTACCGTTGTGCGACTAGATTTCACCGTTCGACTTGTTGCTATGGCCATTATTTGCTTACATGAACATATGAAATGGTTCACTGTGCTAGTCTTTTCCTTCATTGATGAGTTCCTCGTAGTTTTATTTTTCGGTCTTTTTGATGTGTAATAAACGAAACTGATTTGTTGCCGTGTAAATCTTTACACAGATACCACTCAGTATTATTCAGTTTCCATATTCAGTTATATTTTATAGCTTACTTCGATTATCGAAACTGTTTTACAGCATTATGTTTTTAAAGTATACGGGTTAAGTTCTATCCATGATTATATAAGTTTACTAACGATTTATTTTCGAATATACTGATATGTTTTCTCATTTTTTAAAATTCTCTTAACAGTTCGGAATCTTAAAATTCAAGTGTAAGAAGTTGGAAGGAACAGACTCAACGGATACAATCAAGCGTTTTAAACTCGGAAATTCATCGAGTGATTCGAGATCAGAAAATTTCATTTGGGTAGAATGCCTTGTGTCTACTGGTTCAGTAACTACATTACTTCCACTTACTCGTCTCTCATACCGTTGTCATGTGGGACAGTTCCAACCAGAAGATAAGGTTATTGGTGTTGTAATGAAAAAAGCTGGTGAATCGTTTGTAGTTGATATAGGTTGTGCTTCTCCGGCTATTCTCAATTACTTATCATTCGAAGGTTCTTCTAAAAAGAATCGTCCTGACATTCATGCAGGTGATGTTCTTTATACCATGATTACACGAGCCGACAGAGGTGAGTTTATTCTGTAATCACTTATACACTTTCTGTTTGTCAACTTTACTATTCCCGTTTTTGAGCAATAATACGTCTGTAAGCAAGCATTATTTTTAATGTAAGCCTCTTTCATGGAAACAAACCTAGTTTTTAACGACTAGTAGATTGTAAGCAAAGGTAATATTCGCTGTTCTAAATTGTTTGCATCACTGTAACGATTAGTATGAAAAATAAGGCAGATTGTCAGAACAAGCATTAGTCTAACGATATCGCTCCTTGAACGTTAATGGTTGAATAATACATGGCAAATCACGTTTAGAAACATTTTATTTATTGCAAGGACGTTTTGTTTAAAAATCCAAACAAGTTATCAAATCCAAATCCGGTTTCTTCTATGATAATACTTTAATATTTTACTACACAACATCTCTCAGTACATTTAAAGAAAATTGTCTCGTAGTAGCTGAATACTTACAATTTCATCACCATTGATTATTGATTTTATTTAGTTTTACCTAAAGCTACAGAAAATAACCACTGTTTTATCCTTTCACTCCATCTATTTATGAGAAATATTGATATAATTTGAATTGTTATCTAGAAATTAGACAATATCTTTTCTTTCTAAAGTATTATAGTAGATATTGTTGTAACCCATCATTTAACGTTTATACCATTAGTTCTGACAAATTCATAATCCGTTGGAACTGTTATCTTAAGTCGATTAACATGGTCAGTTTTTCTGAATACACGATAAGGTGTTTTTTTATTAACAATATTGTACGTCTTAACGACTGTTGTTATTGATAACGAGATTTTGTTTTCTTAGATTTAGAAATTGAATTGTCATGTGTTGATGAGGCGGGGAAAGCTTGTGGAATGGGTATCCTTGGTCGTCATGACCCTGGAACTGTTGGTAATGCTGGAGGTCGGTCTGGTGGTATACTATTACACTGTACGCAAGATTTGGTCAGGCGGTTAGGCAATCAAGATGAATTCCCTTTATTAAAACTTTTATCTAAGGTACAAGCTCAGTGTGTATAATAACTTTTATTTATGGTTCTTACGAATATCTTAGAAACAGGGCAATTCTTTATATCAACACTTGTAGTTCCAATAAACGGAAAATCACTTTTTAGCTAGCAAGTCAGAATTATGCTATCCAGAAGCGTCGATTAAAATTAGGAACGTTTTTGAGAACAGTATAAAATGTAGTGAAATTCTATATGTGCTCTGTACGTTACAATAAATAATTGTTATAGATTTGTCACAAACAGCGCAATGTGGCTTAAAGTTGTTTGCTGACTAACTGACTTACCTATTTGCATTCACTGTGGGTGAGCTGTTTTAGATGTTGGTGTCGGGATTGAACAACTTATCCGTGTATGAATCAATGGATAATAATTGACAGACATCAAGAAGAAAAGAAAAGATAATTATCCAACTGGTGATATCAAGAGAAAGGAGTAAAAGTTGTCTGACGTTAAAGGAGATAAATATTCTAACCTCTGACGTTTAATAACACAGTTTATATTTAAACCGAAAATTTGTTTCGTAAGGGCAAATCTAAAATTACTAAACAGTGTTTGCTTTGATTTAAAGTCTTAATTTTGAATATACGATTTATGGAAAATTTTCGACGGAAAAACAAGGAGCACACGTGTGAATGAATCAGGTTCAATATTTAATTACTGCAAGTCGATGAATGAATGATACGAATGTGGAGATAATGAGAAAACAGGTGTAGAATTGCTTATCCACTAGAGTGGATAACAAGCTTTGCTAAATACATGAAAATCAGTTACACTTCGTGGTTTGTCTTTATTTCCATCGTATTGGTTAATTAGTTGTTACAGTCACTTGGTACCATGTCAAACGATAGATTATATAATACTTTGAGATTTTATTGGGGCTTTTTATCCATGTAAATTCAATATATTCAAAAAACTTTCTGACTGTTTCTGAAACAATAAATCAGACTCATAAATTTCTAAAAATATATTCTGTAATGCTTAGTGTACTAATCGAATTGTTTTCCAATGTTCCACTCGAGTAGAGGTTGAAAGATGCAAGATCAATATAATTATGCATTTCGATAACCTAATTTCTATACTTTAAATGAATGAGACATGCCAAAAGTCATATATATTACGTAATAATTTTTGAACCAGTGATAAAGTTCAATAATTTGGCCGTATAACTAGCTACTGTTGGTATAGCTATATCTAATAACTCCAGCTTTCTGTTTATTATAATTGAAGATCGTAATTACATCATTCTGTATATTTGTTAATTTTGTCTATTTCTTGTGAACTCTTTCTTATTTTTATATCCCATCAAATATATCCAATTTATTTAATGATTGCAAGAACTCTTACTTAATAAACTGATTCATTGACATTATATGTACAATTATTGTTTTTCTTTCACTTTCGTACTGATGGTCGATACTACGTTAAATAACATTTTGTTATTATTCAATAATTTGTACTTTAATTCCTGTGTATTTATTTATTCTAACATCATAATTTCTTATTAAATTTTCTTTTTCTTGTAATTTACTTAGGTGTATCCTTTTGAAATATTCTTAGGTGCAAATGGACGAATATGGTTAACAGCTGGTTCTGCTAGAGAAATAATGATATTAGCCAATGCAATAGCTATTACTGAACATATATCAACTAATGAATGTTGTCAATTAGCTAAAGAACTTTGTTAAGTCTTGTTACATTTTAATAACACGTCTTTTGTTTTTCTTTAAATTAAATTTGAATATTGTACATATTTATTGATATTGTACATTTGTAAGTCTATTTTGTATCTAATAGATTAAAGTTTACTTTGTTTTTTTTAAAAAATTTGTTAATTAGAATGTTTCTCGGATAAGTTTTTCTGACAATTGGTTCAATTTCATCAGTATTAAATTTAGGTGTAAAAAGATACTTTCAGACTTAAGGACAATCATACTATTTTATTAGTAAATATAGATAAACCATATCATCATTAGTTTCATTTGGGAGCAAATATCTGGACCGTCCCTATGATTCTTTCTAATCTTGTGTGCGCGTGCGTGCGAATGGTTGAACACTAAAAAAATCACAGCAAGATAACTTATTCAAAGACAGATCGATGTTGAGAATGTTAGTGATGAGGTGAAGCACGAACTGAATCAAGTATTTAGGGCGTTTCTATCCTGTGCAAGCATAGTTGAATCTACAGTAACAACGGCAATTTTTATTTTTACAGAAGAAGTAAATATTAAATTCGGAACATTCAAACCAAAAAACAGATTGGCCATGATGTTTGAAAAATTTTCATAAAATTCAGTATAGAACAGCGTAATGAATAAATGATATCAATAACTGAACTAAAGGTTGTTGAGGAAAATGTGATGCTCAGTTCTCACGTAGAATTCCCACTGACTTTGTCTCAAGTATTCATTCTGAACATCTACGTAGTATTTGAAGAATCTTAGTTACGAAAAGGTGTGGCGCATATATATCTGATGCTCCCTTGTACCAATATTTATATTTGTTGACATAAATAAATAGTTACGACAAGAAGGAATGAATTATTCCTAAGTCGTAGGCCAGTGTAGGAGAATAATATTAAAAAGTCATAGAGTTGTAGTCTCTATTGTCTTTTTCTGTGTAACCAGAACTCATTGATTAATTTCAGTAAGTAGCCCCTAAAGTAAATCACTTCCCATCATTATCAACCAGTCAACTTCGACTATCAAATCCTCTGTTTACACAGGAGCAAAAGAAGGGTCATTAGGACAGTTCAGTAAATAAAGTGGTGAACGGTTAAAGCTTATGGTGTGCGTACATCTATAGGGTGTTCTCTTTTTGAGTCAATTTATTCAACCTTCTGAATGATCTTAAAATGAGGTTTTAGAGAGGTTACATTACCGAAGTTGATTCCCTTGATCCTAAAACAACAATACACTTCTTATTTAAATAGGTACAATCTCCTGTTCTTAACTCATTCACATCGTGTTATTCTTCTAGTGGACAATTTTACATCTATAATCTATTTTCACTTTGGTTTATTTTATGATTTTGATACCTAAAAACACTTTCGACTACACTTTAAATGATATAATATCTATTTTGTTATAGATATGTGGATTTTAACTAGATATGCATACGAATGTATAATTTTATTAAATACCATTGTTTAAAAGAAAACTTCCTTCTTTAAATTATCTTGATTTCATTCTCAACGTTGGAAAAGGATTCATTTGTTATTTAAAAACAGTTTTGTTATGATTTTCACTTTTGTGCAACAGGAAAGTTTTCTTTTTATTAAAAACTACAGAAGTTATAATGCTTAATAGTTGATTAATGACTTTATACTTTCAACATTTACCAATGTCATATCTCTTAATATTTACTTAAGATTTTATTTTTCATATCATTTAAAGACATCGATGAATTTAACTATGAGGTCGAAATTCATTCAGTATAGATATATTTCACTCTTTTTGTTTATTGTTGAAATCACCAAGAAATCTGAAATAAACAGAGAGAACAAATAATTTTCTGACAAATCAGACAGTTTGAATTTAGTTTTATTACATTTGATGATATGATTTAAAATTGATAAACGTTCATAATGAAGTAATTACAACATAAATACAATAAGTGAGTAACATTTATCTACTAAGTAGTTCATTTAATTATCTTTTAAAACTCTATCTTTGTTTATATCTATCACTTACTAAGCTACAGTTTATTTATTTTAACTATTATAATAGAAAAAGAAAACATTTGGTATCTTGCAGTTAAGTTAATCAGTTCATTAATTTGAGCGAACTATCTTGGCGCTCAACATATATTTATAAAGTTGATACAATACATTCTAAAGTGAATTACGAATTTGCATCTGTTTAATTCATTAATTAATTAAATTTAACCACTTTTATGTTCATTCAAACAAATCTATTTAATTGTTTTCTATGATAAATAGATCTCAACGTATCCTACCTTATTCATCTACAATAAATAGATTAATGATATTAACAGATAAAACTGGTTTCAAAATAAAAGAGAAATGAATAGTAGGTTGTGAATAATGTTTATTATTTAGTAGACAAACTCTGTTTTCAATTGTATACATTTACTATTAGAATGACTTAAATGTTCGTTTCACTTCTAATAATGAAGTAAATAAAAAAATGCGAGAAAACAATTTTGGTGTTTATCTTGTTCCCAAAAATACTGTTACTATTCCTACTACTCTGAGATTTGTCTTGATAATTTTATTGCCCTTTGCTTATGTGGTATGACAGTCAGATCCAATGAATATATGTGGCAGCACCAACGTTACATATGATTGATTGTCAGTCAGTCAGTCAGCTGCAACGTAGGACCAGGCACGTATATGCATCGGTCCAAGTTGCCATACCGCATTAGCACAACAAGATGAACACCGGATTCATAGGAGTAGTTAATTCAGTGGTGGTAATATATAGAAGAAAGATTGTGTATAAGGAGATAGTAAAGGAAGAAAGAATTAGTTCCTAGACAGATATGAAGCGATTTTAATCTCTTAATTTAAGGAAGACAGAGAGTGTATACACCGACGCCATTGTGATCGATTCTGAGCCATGTCACCAAGAGTCTCCAACCATTGGTTACGATAGTCACGCGAACCCCAACCAGGCAGTCTGAATCTCCCAACATGGCTCAGACCAGAAGTTAGTGACTTCAAGCACTGATGCCACGTTTTGGTTTGGCCGCCCCTAACTTTCTTCCAATTATCCCCTGCACTAGTCAGCATTGCGCGTCGTGGTAATCGGTGTTCAGGCATACGCAACACGTGGCCCAACCATCTCAGTCGATGAAGATTCATAACCTCATCAACTGATTTACCATCATTCCCTAATACCCTGCGTCTAACCTCACTATTACTTACCCGGTGATCCCAGCAGATACCCGCAATATTTCTAAGGCACCTGTGGTCAAATACTAGTAACTTACGAATATCTTCTACTCTCAAAGGCCATGTTTCGCAGCCGTATAGTAGAACGGAACGAACTGCCGCGCAGTATACTCGTCCCTTAATTGATAGACGGATATCTCGCCTTCGCCATAGATGACGTAAGTTGGCAAAGGCCAAGCGAGCTTTTCGAACCCGTGCTGAGATTTCGTCAGACACCAACCCATTAGGGCTGATCAGACTTCCAAGATAAGTGAAGTTGTCAACGCGTTCGACTACTTCACCCCCTATCCTTAGTTCAGGTGTTGACGCAGGCCAGTCCTGAAGTAACAACTTGCATTTAGAGGAAGAGAAGCGCATCCCAAACATTCTTGCATTGTTGCTCAGTGCTACCAAAAGACTGCACTTCATCAGCGTCTTCACCAAACAGGACTATGTCGTCTGCGTATTCTAAATCGATAAGTGGACCTCCTAGTAGGAGATCGATGCCCGAGAATTCAGTCGATGAGAGCGTTATTTTCATCAGTGGATCTATGATGAAGTTAAACAAAAATGGAAAAAGTGGACAGTCTTGACGGACGCCACTTGAGGTTGCAAAAGCAGATGACAGTTCGCCATAGGCTCTGACCCGACTAGTAGTGTTCGAGTAAAGAGCCTTCACAAGGTTTATGTACTTCTGAGGTACGCCTTTCAATGACAGACACTGCCACAGAACCTCTCGGTCAACAGAGTCAAACGCTGCTTTTAAGTCAAGGAATACCACCATTGTCGGACGCCGATAAGCATGCCTGTGTTCTAGAACCTGACGAATGGTGAATATGTGGTCGATGCAGCCACGACCAGGTCTGAAGCCAGCCTGATTTTCACGTGTTTGCAGTTCACGAGTCTTAGTTAGGCGTCCGAAAATTATCGAAGCTAGTATTTTAGATACTATATTAGTCAAACTAATCCCTCTGTGGTTGTCACAGGATGATTTTGATCCTTTCTTAAATATTGGGACGATAAGTGATTGTGACCAGTTAGATGGAATAACGTCTAACTCCCAGATTTTAGCTAAAATATTAGTCAACCTAATCGCTAAGACTAGACCACCATCCTTAAAGACCTCTGGGGCCAATCCATCTGGACCAGCTGCCCTTCCTCGTTTCAGATTAACTATAGCCTTTTTAACTTCAGCTAGAGTTGGGGGACCTACTTCAATGTTCCATTCACACTGTCTGGGAATAGAGGGTAGTTGTAGAGTAGCTGAAGGCCAGCTAAACTGCTCCTTAAAGTGTTCCGCCCATCGTTCTAAGCGTCTGGACTGGGAGCAGATGAGAGTGTCGTTTTTTTCCGAAATGGTCTGACTTACACTTAATTTATTAATTCCAGTTTCTTTTATTAGTCTGTAGAGTTGCCTTGTGTTACCTATAGCCGCCGTCTTTTCCATCTCTTTTGCTTTCGTTGCCCACCACTGCTCACGATCGTTCCTTAGACTTTTGCTTCATCTAGATCTGATTTCTTTACGCTCTTCATCGTATTCAAAACCTGATGGGATTAGTTTGCGAGAATCTATCAGTGCAATAGACCTTGACGAAATCCATTGGTTTTTTGTAACCATTTGGTTTAAATCACTGGTAGATGTCACTGCTGTTTCCACAGCTGCTTGTATAACTTTCCAAGCAACTCTGGGTCAGTCTCGTTTTCAGAACTACCTAAGTGTGACCTTAGTTGTTCCTGGAACCTACTTTTGGCTTTCTCATTACTCAATTCGGTTCTAATGAGTCTTTTTTGTGTGGCTTTTTTGCGTCCAGTGAGGCGCAAGCAGATGCGTGCTCGTACTAGGGCATGATCAGAGTCCAAGCAGGTACCCCAGAATGAGTGACAATCTTCTATTGACCCTCTCCAACGATGACTGATGGCAATATGG